AAAAAAAGGACCCCAGAAAAGCGGCGTAGAAATGCCACTTCTGCCGCTCAGCACCGCTCAGCACAGAGCTGTTTGAACGTTGACGCGTCTGGCAGTCCGCAAGCAGTCCGCGAGCAGTCCGCAGTCGGCCAAAGTTGGCCAGGGTCTGCAGGAACGCAACGACGCCTCGCCCGCTTTCGTCGCCATCCGCCTTCACTCTCTCGCCTAGACCCCATCCTATACCCCGGAACCGCACACCTGGCACACCGGCACGACACTTCGGTTCGATTCGGATACACTGGACCACATGTTGGAGGAAGAAGAAGCCGTCGACTACGGCGAGGACGAGCTTTTGGCGCCGACGCACGCCCAGAACGAGGTGCAACTCACGCTCGATGGCGACGATACGCCCGCGGATACGGATGCTGACGCAACGCCTGACGACGTAAAGTCAGCACCCACACCAGCCGCTGTGGAGGTAGCTGCCGAGGCGAGCAAAGACGAGCGGCAAGCAGACGCGAAAGAGCCCTCCTCAGCGCCCGAGCGGCCGGCTGCGTCGAGTGGCAAGAGCGAGAGCCGTTCGAACGGCGCGGGCAACAAGACGGATGGATCGCGACGTGAATCGCACAAGGAGGGGCTGCCGGCTGGATGGCGCGAGATTGCGTCGCGCTCGGGTGATGGCGAGGTGTACTACTACAACGAACGCACGGGCGAGAGCAGCTGGCAAAGACCGGGCGCGGCTCGCACTCAGCCTTCTGCATCAACGCCAAAGCCAAAGAAGAAGAACAAGAAGAAGAACAAGCGTGCACGTGAAGCCGCACAGGCCGCGCAAGCACCGAACGGCAAACCAGACGCAAAGGTTGCGGCGGGTGATGCCAAGGACGCGGCGGCACAGGGGTTGAGCATCAAAGGTGCGGCGCAGCGCAAAGCCGAACCATCCCAACCCAAGCCGGACACGAGCAAGAATGGCAAACGCAAGCGTGAAGAACGAAGCGATGTCGGATCCAAGCCCAAAGCCAACGAGTCCAAGGCCAACGGCGTCGGCAGTGGAACGAAAGCGTCGGTGGAGAAGCGGCCTCGTGCAGATGAACGCCGGGACGTGCGTGCGGAGGAGCGTCGAGAAGCGCGTTCGAATGATGTCCGACGCACCGGCGATTCTTGGCGACCCAGCACCGACAGCTCTGCACGCTCTCGACCCGACCAACGCGCGCGCGACGAATCCAGACGACCGGATGCGCGCGACCACCGTCGAGACAGTCGAGACACTCGAGACACGCGCGAGCGAGACTACGCCCGCCACGACCGAGAGCGAGACCAGGCATCTTCGCATCGCAACGCTAGCTCCATCAACTCGACACACGCACAGCACAAACGTCAGTGGGGAACGGTTTCGTCGAAATAAAGTTAGCTAGATGAGCCATCCTGAATACACCGTATTGGCGCTACTTTCTCGTGGTGGTTGGCGGGGCCACTGGAGGACGAAACGATCCACCAACGGACGCACCAGCTTGGCGGTGAGCGAGAGACTTGTGACGCGTGCGAACGACTCGATGTACATGAGCTTTGGCGAAGGCAACCCGAGGATCTATTGCAGAAAGCGTGTCAGTGGGATCAACTTGCTCACTGTACGGTGGGAGTTGCTTACTCGGAGGAGGTAGACAGCTGCTACAATGGGAACGCACGTGCCTGGCCCGTTCATGAGTATCACATCTGCGAGTACTCGTTTTGCATCCTGTGGCCGTACAAGTGGGAGGAGTGCGACGGTGTAGATGCAGAAGGCCATGCTGTACGCCGTAGTGAGGGGTGCGGTGAGGAAGCTCTGATGCACGTTTCGTGCGCGTGGGATCTGGATCGCTCGCACACGCTCATCCCCAGTGAGCTTGCGTTCGAGCTGCCTGGCCTTGTTCAAGCTGAACTTGTCGCCGGACGAGACGAGATAGATGCGGCGTGGGTAGCGACTCGTAGGGAGTGCGGATACAAGCTGCAGCAGCTCGGTTGTATGTCCGCCCGAGCCCAGAAACACCCCCACCGTACATCCATCCTTGTTTGCACTCGATCTTGGCACTGTTGGGTGGGGGTTGCGGCCGGGAAGGATGCACCAGATACGAAGCACCACCAGGAGCGACAGAGAGAGTAGAACCAGCAGCGTGCGAATCGAGGGCAGAGGCGGCACGAGGTACAGCAGCACACTGGGTGGCAGCACGTGGTTGATCGGTTGGCGCAGATGCTGCTTGGCCGCCTCGAAGCCGTTGGCCACCGAGTCGATCGTGCCCATCGTCGTGCAGAATGTGGAGCCGGAGCAAGGATGGTCAAGGTGCCCAGGTGTCCGTGCGGTCCTTCAGGGTCCTTTGCTCGGAAGATTGGCCGTCCTCCGAAGCGCGAGATTTTATGCTGTTGTTGAATGAGGCCTAACAGATGATGAAATTGAACGCCGATCCACACGCGCAGATCTCGAGATTGGAGCGTTGCTTTTCGATGCGTCTGATGTGGGTGGGCGGCATCGGATGGTCGGGTGCGGCTACCGAGGGCACACGCTTCCTATGCTCGCTGCATATCTTTGATTCGCAACAGTCCGGCGGTGGGTGTAAGCAGTGCTCACGGGACCTTAACCTCGAGCGGTAATGCCGGCCCAGGACCCTGAAGCCCGAGATGATGGTTCGTCGTGGGAAGCATGTTGATGCGGGACTGCGTGGGGACTGCGGGCAGATGCAGTTGGCAGAAGAGATCTGCAGCCAGGTGCGTGTTTGCTAAGCAGGTCGCGGGGGGGGGGGGGGGGGGGGGGGGG